GGGAGTACAGTGTGGTACTAATGAGAGAAAAGAAGTATGACACTTTCCGAATCGCTTGTGCGAAAGCCTCCAAATGTTGTGTCACCTCAGAACTATCTGAGGTCGATGTGGTATCAGAGAAAAGACAACCAAAGAAGAAAAGCTACTCCTCTGACAGTGAAACAGAATCAGATTTAGAGATTCCACAAATACGTAGACCTATCAGAAAGGGTGAGTTGTGATTTCTATAAATTTTGTTTTAAAATATTACAGCATATTATCCATTTGAATATGTTAGGTACTTTTCCTAAAATTTTCTATACATAATAATTTTCTCAGAGAGTGCTTTATGTATACAGACAACACATTTTATTTCAGGCACCAATCAGTCTGAAAAAAATGCTTGCCGAGAGAGCCAGGTTGAATCAGGTAAGTGAGCAATTTTAACGATATCTCTTGTTTCATACATATTTGTGATGTCAAGAATACCAATTAGAATAACCTCAATAGACAAATTTTATAGAAATTTATAAACAAACTCATCAAATATTGCAAGACATGCAATGTGTTTCTTAGATGCAGTCTTCGGGACTAGGTACCATTGAGTTTTCACAAACTAATTTTTTTTCAGTCTCAAATGTGATGCCGGTGAAAAATTATGAATCGTCAACTTGTTTACCTGAACAACTTGGAAATGATGACTTCAGTAAAAGTGAGTTAGTTGTATATATTCGTTTTTAATCATATCTTTCCTGCTTAGTATGATTTAAATGTCTCAATATTGCAAAATATAAAATTTTTTTTTTCAGATTCAGAAAATGATCCTGGAGAAAGTACAATTTCAACAGGTACCTTTATTTCATATTCTACTATTCACATTGATATGTGAGAATAGTGACCTATTCTCTCATCATTCTTTTCTAGATGACAATAAATTTAAGAAAACTTGCATAGGAATGTTGGTGAAAACAAATAAAATGTTGCGAGATTTAGAAATGAATATTTCCCCTTTCATAATCCAAGTATATCCGTGGAATATATAGAATATTCAATGAATATTCCTGGAATATTTCTGAGGAATATTCTGAGTTTTTCTACGTTTTTCCCCCTTTGCACATTCGTGAAATATTCCACAAAAGACGTATATATTGCCGGCATATTCATGAGCTATTGCAATATCTCTAAAAGAATGTCCTGGGAATATTCAGGGAATATCTAGTGCTGTCTGGGGTAATATCCAGGGCTGTACAAAGCACTGATCCTGACGCAGTCCCCAACATTCGGCCATCTTGCTTCCCCATTTGGCCTCAAATGGATTCAAACACCCATCAGAACAAATTGTAACTAACTTTCCAATAAAATCCTATATATACAATGTATTTGTTTATGTGTGTATGTGTCATAACTTAGTTTATTCCCTGAGTTATTTATGTCCGTAGGTTTAATCCCCAACTTTTGTATATGTATGCGCGTATGTGCCATAACTCAGTTCAATTCCTAAGTTATTCATGCCTAAGTATTGGTTTTTTCCCCAACTTTTGTATGTGTCTGTTAGTTTAATCCCCAACTTCAACTCCCAATCATGAATTTAGTTTAATCCCAAAATTATGACTGTTTTTTCATAACTCTGTTTGATTTCTGAGTTATCCCTGCCGGTTGGTTTCATCCCCAACTTCAACTCCTAATCCTGAATTCAGTTTTAATCCCTAAATTATGACTGGATTTTCACTCACTAATTGTCGTCTCTCACTGTGAACGGTTTGAGATGTTCCACACAGATGACTCCCTCATAATGCTTTGCGTTTTGGCACCTTTCTGACCCTATTTCTTCACGTATTTTATATCTATCATTTTCTAAATTCTGTTTTTTCTTGAATGGCCCTTTATATTTTTCGACTAATTCCTTAGTATTTCCATCATTTTTGAAATTAGTTACTTTTACGAGCACCAAATCTCCTATTTTGTAAACCGGAGATGTTTTTCGTCTCATATTGAAAATTATATTCTGCATTTCACGATTTTTCTCCAATCGTTTTGCAACATCCTACCTCATTGTTGCGGCAGCGTGTACAATTGTCCTGTTGTATCGTTCCACCTGAACATTTGCGCAAGGCATAGCTATAGAATTTCGGTAATGGCGAATACTTTGTTCATCGCAATTTTTTTTAAATTTGTTGGATGAAAATGCTTTGCCTGCATTCGATATTATACGCAGTGGTACTCCAAAAATGGCTATCAATTTACGCAATTCGTTCAGAACCGGTGACGTCTTGGTATTGGGAAGAGCACTCATAATTGTGAACTTTGTCAACCATAACAAAAATGTATTTGTTGCCGTTTCTACTTTCAATAAATATACCCACATGATCAACATGCATTGTATGAAAAGGACGAGGACATTTATGAATGGAAAATAAAAATCCTGGCTTTTTCCCCGCGGGCAGTTTATGGTACGGGCAGTGTAAGCATGACTCAATATATTTTTTACAAAATGTCGCATTCTAGGGAACCAATATCCTTCCTGCAACCTATGAAGAGTTTTCTCTACAGAAAAATGTCCCAAATCACAGTGATTGGCCTTTACTATCTGCCATCTACAGTTTTTCGGAACAAGCCAACGCCGACCATACTCAGTAAGCTTGAAAACTCGTCCTGCCCTTAAGTAGGGTGCTAATGCCGACTGAACGCCTCCCCCCACCCCTTTTGACCTTGAGACGTCACACGACCTTGAATGACGTCACCTAACCTTGAACGTCGTACACGTAGTATGAGCCTGAATGCGGTGTTTGACCTTGAGTGTGGGGTTTGACCTTGACGTTCGACACTTCGACTACCTTGANAGAATGATATCAAAAATGTATTTCCTTGTGTGGTGAAAGTTGGGATTTTTTTTATTGGACATGCCTACCTCTGTAGTGAAATAAATGAATATATTTTGTACAATGGCGCTTCAATGTGTAGATGGCACCTCTTTTTTTCAACTTCATATCTCCCGCAACCTTTTGTATCTGTTTGGAGGTGGCTATAGTGTCACCTTACCAAGTCAACTTAATGTTCAATTTCATTCAAAAAAGTCAAAATTTTTGACGTTATTTATAAAGCCATTTCAGCGTTAATAAGATAATTCATTACGGAATCAGTGTTAATTAACCCATCAAAGCCTGGCGTTACCGTATAGTAACGGAGAATACAGATATTTCCAAGATCATTTATTTTTCAAGTTTCGCTCCTTAAAGTCAGATGGCACTATAGGTGTCTTCTCAACATATGATCAAACATATTGAACAGGTTAGTTTCACAATTGTGTTTGCGTTGTTTGTGTATACGGACGTTTTTTGTGATAGAAAAGTTTCTTTTACCATAATGGACGACATAAAATTTGAGTAAGTACGTTTTTTTACTTGATATTCATATAATATCATAACTAAGTCTATATTTTTTTTATATATTGATAAGAAAATACACATGTGTATACTTTTTAATATCTTGTAGTAAATTTTTGTCGCTAGTGGGATGTTTTGTATGGTGTTACCGTACGGTAACGCCAGGTCAATATAATGTCAACTTTTGACCAAAATGTTCTTATTGAAAATTTTGTTTCAGGCATGGATTCACGTTGCAAGAAGCCTTAGAAATAGCATACTCTGAAGATATTGATGCTATTTATATTGAACCACCTGAACCAAACGTGTTAACGGATGAAGATTCCGGTGATGAGGATTGTGGAGGTACCATTGATAATCTATCGGGTAGACAGCTGCGAGCACGAGCTGAAGTGAAGTTTGCAAATAAAAATAATGTAGAAGAGGACATTATTCACGTTGAAAAATGTACNAACAAAATCAGAAATCATTTGTTTTGGCTGTCTGCATGTAAATTGTCTCAATGATTTTTTGAAGTGGTAAAATATATTAATGTTTTTTATTGTATTGGATAGAGTATTGAATAATTTTACAGCCAGGTAAGTATATGTATGCTGCAAAAGTGATTTTTGTGTTAATGGAATTACATGATGACTTTTTTTCGGGTGTTGAAAGTGTGTGACGGTAAAAGATAACTTTTCTCCTTGTGGTACGTTAAGATTACATTGAAATAAAAGAGTTGACGAATGTCAAAAACACCGGCTTCACAAAGTAAATTGTCTCTAGGAAACCGTGAACTTTTCGCATGTATCAGTTTTAGAAATTTGTTTTGTAGTACTTCAAGAGGACGAAAGTGTGTTCGAAATGCCCCGCCCCAGCATGCTATCCCATAGCGTAAATGACTTTCTACTAGTGCGAGGTAAAGAATTTTCAGGTGGTGGGTGGAGAATATTTCTCCTAAAATTTTGAATTTGTGTAGAATACTTCGCAGCTTTTTGCAAATGAAGTTTATGTGCTCATTCTATTCAAGATGTGAATCAATAATTACTCCTAAATACTTCACCTTATTTTCAGGATGAATCAATTGTTGACTGCCTAGGTCTTTACAGGAAAAGGGTGGTTTGTTCGTGCTATTGCAGCTTAATGGCATATACTGGGTTTTCTCCAAATTTATGGTTAATAGCTTATATTCAAGCCAGTTTTTTATTGTATCAAAATCTGATTCTACAGTATATTTTAATTCTTGCCAATTATTTGCCTTATAGAATATTGTTGTGTCGTCTGCAAATCCTAAAATGTTTCCTTTGCTTTCTACAAAGAATAAGTAATTTATGTACAGATTGAATAGAGTATGTCCAAAAACCATACCCTGAGGTATCCCAGTATCGATATACTTCTCACTGGGGGAGGGGAGTACCCCTTATACCATTATCTTCAATTGTTTGCAGAAGCAATGTGTGGTTGACGATGTCAAAGGCTTTCGATAGGTATATGAAAACGCAGAGACTCGGCTTATTTTCACTAAGCGCTGAAGATATTTCAGATGTTAAGGATAATATTGCATCTTGGGTAGATATATTTACTCTAAATCCAAACTGATGATCAGATATTGAATTGTATTTTGAGACATATGTGCATAAGAACTTTTTTTTAAACGACCTAACGACCCTCTGAAGTTTCTTACCGTAGTTAAAAACACCCTGTATATTCACATTATATCAAAAGAACAATTTCTTGTAAATAACACTTTTTAATTGTTATTATAGGTTATTATTATATTGTTATTATAAAATATTTAGTCCAAAGGTTTTGCGGAATAATTTTTTATACAATAACCATTTTTCCGCTGATCAAGTAACTGCAAGAACCTTGCCAGTAGATGCTGTTCCGGAAAAGTTTGTTTCAGAAAGTAGTTGTGTGGAAATAGCCCGCCTTCATTAGATGTGGCTTCGTGTTCAAAATTTTATGTAGGCATTAACAGAAGTCTTTTTGAAAACAATATCATTGAGAGTAGCTCCACTAGCAGTGATTTCCAAAGATTTCAAAATCTACCCATTGATGAACGTGAATTAAAAAAAAACCTTCACTTGAGAGCGAAAATGCCAAATTGAAGTTAATGCTATCCAGATCAAGAATGAAAATAAATAATTTGAAAACCCAGTTGAACGAATTGAAGAAAAAAATCATGAAAGTTCAATTATCTACTAAGGTTTTATTCAAAGATGCTCCAACAAATTAATCCAAGACATTATTGAATATGCAAGTGAGACATAAATTTTGTTCACCATGGACATTATTGGAAAAAAATATCAATATCCTTATATTATAAGAGCCCTTCAGCATACAACTATATGAGACAAAAAGCGATAATCCTTCCAGCAATTTGCACAATAAAAGAATGGTTGGGAAATTTCAGATGTGAATCAGGATTCAACAGAAAGGTTTTCACACAATTGTCTTTGAAAGCGGGAACTATGAAACCGTCAGAAAAAGTATGTTTGCTAATTTTTGACGAAATGGCTCTAAAAAAGAAAGTAGATTACAATGAGAAAACATATTTAATCAAAGGTAGATTTAGAAAATGAACTGGGAAGTAGACATGTACCGGCAAATTTCGCTCTAGTTATCATGATTCGTGGAATTTATTCAAATTGGAAAATGCCCCTTGCATATTTTGTAACTCATGATGGAGTAAATGCAAAAGATCTCCAGGGAATAATCCCAACTTGCTTGAATAAACTCGTATGTGCAAACCTAAATCCAATAGGGCTGGTATGTGATTTATCAAAAGTAAATCAACGGTTTCATAAAAATTTTAATGTATCACATACAAGACCTTATTTTATACAGGATGAGAAAACATATTTTTCATTTTACGATGCCCTACATTTGTTAAAGTGCTTGAGAAATAATTTTTTGAATGAGTATTTCATTTTTGAACATAAACAAACATTTAACATTTTCTGATGTCAAGAAGGTTTACGAAATCGATAAAAGTAGCAAAACTGGCAGATGCCTTTTGAAACTAACTGATAAACATTTTTCTCCAAATGCATTCGAGAAAATGAATGTTAGATTGGCTGCTCAACTTCTGAGTCATAGTGTGTCAGCTGCCATCAAAGTTGCAGAGAAGTGGGGAACTTGTTTCCTCAACTGCAGAAAACACAGCATTTTTCATAAATACTATCAACAATTTGTTGGATACGCTGAATAGTATTCATTTTAAAAGTTGTAATCCATATGTTTTTCGAAAAACAAAGGAAATGAATATTTCGAAATTTATTAATAGATTATGTTGATTCCAGAAATGAAGAAAATATTCTTTAGACAATAGACTCAGATGATTCATTATGTGAAAGTTCAAATGGGAATCAATCTAAACAACATTGTGCTTTCTTTGAAGAATTTAATTTAGAAAATTGTTCAACAGTATATTTTGCTGTACTTGGTAAGAAAATTTATGAAAAAATTTAACTGTCATTAATGTCAACAATGCCTTGAAGGAGATGAAGACGTTGACAATGTTGACAAGTTATTAATTTTTTACAAAAGTTGTAATTTACAACAAGAAAATTCACTCAAGACACCAACAAATTTGGTGCAAAACTTTGCTATAATTTGTTTGACAGTCTTCAGTGAAACCATCACAAATTTTTTATCGACAAAAATTATTCAAAATTTAAAATCTATCATTTATGGTAGTTTGAAACAAAAACATCCAAGTTGGATGCACATGAGTGAGTGTTTTCGTGAACATAGAGAATATAATATCTACTGAATGGAAGGTAAACATTACCAAATCTCAAAGATCTCAGTGTCTACCTTACAAAAATAAGACAAAATAATGTCCAGCTAAGAATCCTAAAGCCGTTGACTGTACAAAATGTATATTCAAATGTAATGTTAATTTCACAAAAGAAGAAAGAATCACAATTTGTAGAACTTATTGAGGTTTTAAAAATTACAGTAGGCAAAAGGATTATATTCTAAAGCTTGTTCAAGTAGAAGAACCGAAACGTCGGAAGGTTCTTAAAACGAGTAAGGCACTACTCACACGGGGATATTTAAGTCGCGAAACGACTAAGATACGCAGCGACTCGGAGACCCAGCAAGTGTTTTTATACGTTGCTGCTCAGATGGGGAAATTCCAGTATTGAAGACTTGGCAACGTCGCGACGCAAAGACACGGCGACTCGGCTTGCCAGTCTCCTAATCCCTCAGTTGCGTGATCGCGATGAACGAGCAAGCGTTCAACGTAAAGTTTGTCGGCGAAGTGGAGAAGTTTCCTTTGCTTTATAATTATAGACTGAAAGAATATTCCAGAAAAGATGTTACGGAAAAGGCGTGGAATGAAGTAGCCAAGAATGTTAATCTATCGAGTAAGTTCCACCTTTTTGTTAAAATGAATACATGTATTTTATGAACCCATAGAACAATATAGGTATATTATTTTAGGTACTTTAGAGAATACAATGAAATTCCTCTCATGAAATGAGATGAAGAGTAAAATGATGCAAATTCAAACAATTAAAAATTTCCATTGCCATAGGAGGGAAGCACGTGGCGTTAGAAAATAGTTTGCTAAATAGTTCCTCACATCATAAGCAGTGGACCGAGAATGCAGTATAATGTCTCTCCTTGAAGGGACAAGAGTAGTAGAAGTGGTGAAGTTTTGTTGTGGTTCATCACTATGATATTGAATACCTTCACATCTACGAATGAAATTATGCAGAATGCAAACTGATTTAATTATGTCAACGACTCTNTGCAAGAGAAAATAATAAAAACATGTACATTGTTAAATAATAACTATAATACGATGTAGCTATTGAATAAATAACATTCCTCGTACTTTGTCACTTTCACTTACCTCAATGTAATAAGAACTCGTTCCTCAGGGCTCACACATTCTCGCATGTTTGTGTTGGTATAATGAATAGCTGGAGCAATAAGCTGCATCAGTTTTTGGTAAGTCTTCTTTCTCATTCTGTACAATGCGAGGAACTTCGAATCTGATTCCTGTAATTTTTTTGCAGCAACGAATAATCGGCAATTCATGTTCTTCTCTATGTAGGGGTGTAACCACATCTTTCTCACTTTCCTTTTTCTATATCGGTTGTAATAATGGATAATGATGTCCTCATCACTACTTGAATCACTAGTCATACTATAAAGCAAGAACAATACCACGACAACAAAACACCTCTTCGGCAGCTTGAAGGGAACTAAATACTAGCCCGAGTCGCGACTGTGTGAGGATGACAGGCAACTTGAGTCTCCCAGTATCGGAGTATCCAGGTCTCTCAGTATCCAAATCTCTGAGTATCGCAGATTTCAGTATCCCCGTGTGAGTAGTGCCTAAAACGCCTCGCAGTGTGTCAAAAACCTATTTCTTGATAAATAGCAGTGGCAAGCACAGGGTATGTGCTCCGTTTTTCCAGAAAACATTATGTATTTCAAATGGCCCCATTAATACAGCGATCAAAAATAGTTCTGTTGGCTGCTTCTCAGGAGAAGATAAATGAGG